TTGTTTGGTGAGTGCTATCAGCATGGGCTGAGAGGTAAAGCTAACACACAGTATGCTGGGGACGAGGGGAGGGGAGGATGCAGGGGGATAGCCCTGTCTGAGAGGATACTGCTATTGAGTTGCAAATTAGGTTGCAATTAGCTCCTACACATTTGCCTGGAGGGAATTAGTGTGTGTGTGCATGTGTCATTGTGAGTTTTTTAACCCATTTTCCTTAGAATAGGGGTTGACGGTGATAAGCAGATAATACTAATTACTTCTCCTCCCAATTGCTTGTTAATTGTGCTTGGTGTGGATTTATACAGCATGGTAATACTCCCCCGTTCCACACACACACACACACACACAGATGCATGTGCCCCCCGCTTTGGCTGCTGGCAAAATCAACAGGTCATTTTTTAAGCAGGAGGCTTCTGTTTAAGCCACTAATTAATTATGTCAAGTGGGGTTCCAACATTTTGTGTGTGTGTGTGTGTGTGTGTGTGTGTGTGTGCGTGCGTGCGTGCGTGCGTGCGTGCGTGCGTGCGTGCGTGCGTGCGTGCGTGCGTGCGTGCGTGCGTGCGTGCGTGCGTGCGTGCGTGCGTGCGTGCGTGCGTGCGTGCGTGCGTGCGTGCGTGCGTGCGTGCGTGCGTGTGTGTGTGTTGTAGTTGCTGACGAGTTTAACATGTTCTCCAGTAGTGATAGACTGATTAATTGGTCGGCTGATTAATCGGGGTGATATCAGGCATCATGCTCTCGACGCTGATAAACAAAAAATGTCTGCAGATACATACATCCGACATTTCAGTAAAAGTCTTTTTGTATTAGAGAGTTTACTTTTTTTAATTAATTACAGGCTTTTTAAAAAATAATAAGTAGAATGCAACAGGCAATGCACATCTTTTAGTTTGAAATGTTTTTCTGTGTTCAAGTGAATAATACATAAGTGTTAAATAAGTGTTCATTTAAGTTCATCAATTTTGTGTCTTATTTGTTGTTATTATTAAATTTTTGTGTTTTATCAGCTGCAAAGAATAAAAACAACAACATAATATCAGTCGCCCTGCTCTCTGAATATTGCCATCAGCCATTGAAGATACCAAATCAGTCGACCGCTGTTCTCCAGTTTGTTCTTGAATTAAACCACAATACACTGACCAAGCAAAAAATACAAATACAAAAACTACAGCTTTATATCTACTGAACACGGGATGTGTTCCTACAAAACCTGGTGAGTTCAAATAGGACAGACATCACTCTTTATAATTAACATTGCTTTATACTGAATCTGGAGGTAAGGGTAAAACGTACGCCAGTGTGCATTGGGTGTGCGACGGGGAACACCCTAGACAGATTGTGAGTGTATCATAGGGTTGATTAGCTGTCCCAATTTCGGGACTGGATCACCTGAAGTCTGGATTCAAAGACCAGATATGTTGTAATGGGCCAACAAGGCTTGCCCCCAGTCAAACAAGCTCCAACAAAGAAATTCCATTTTCTTTTTCCTGAATTGAGAGGACTCTTGTGCACGATACAAAAAAAAGAGAAAAAGGGGACCCACTTATTGAAAACTGATCCATAGCACCAGTATTCAAAAACTCTACAGGGTAAGCTGTTAACTTGGGTAACATGGTAGTTTTTTTTATAGGTCAATCATCCGAGGGTGACTTCCTGGTGGTAAACATGAGGATTTTTTTTACCTTTAAAAGTTGGGTAGAACCACCTCCGTGTACAAGTTATTTTTGTCATTTGGCATTCAGGGAAGAAGCACAGGCACAGTTTAGCCTTAAGGTCCAGTGTCCCAGGTCATTTGGACGATCCCCCACCTGAATTAGGACACAGAAAAAGACAGACAAACACCTTCACATCAACAAGAAATTTATGTTAACTCCACACACAAATGCTCCAGCCAACCAGGTTACATTCAACCATTGCTGTACACTGACTTTGAAAATTACCATTTTTTGGCTGTTCATGGCTTGTGTTTGACAGGAGTTCAGAGAAACACATTGCTGCTGCTAATGAAGTGTTTACCTAACAACTACTATATGTAGAGATAAAGTTGATAGTCCTGAGTGATTCCCTTTAAGAGAGCTGCTGTACAATTCCTCTCACCTGATAGTTTGGTGCACACATGACCCAAATAAATCTCTGTTTGTCTGTTTGGTCTGTAATACTCCTCTGAAAGTGGAGCAGTGAACATTTTTAGTGTCAATTAAAAAGAAAAGAAGCCAGCCAGAGAGTTGGAGATGGTACTGGGAATTGTTAACGTAGTAGTGAAAGGTGTTGCTATGCTGACAGAAAATCTGGCCAAGGCCAACATGATTTACACATATCTCAAAAGTGGGGGGTAAATTATCAATGGTAATTGTCTTAAGGGCAGTAAATCCTTACAATAGCATTATCGGTGATGTCAAGCTCTTCTATTTTACAAAGATATATAATCAACCCCCCGGACCCTCCACCCTTCTACAAGCACATCATCTGTTCTGCAACGGCTTGGGAGCACTTAAGCAGATTTTGGTTCAGTCTGCCTTCAAAGTGTTAAACAGATTGGGCCAGCGGATTTCTTGTAATGAAGGTAAGTAAGTGTGTGTGTGTGTGTGTGTGTGTGTGTGTGTGTGTAGTGGTGGCGGTCAGTGGCGCAAAGTGTCTGAAACTTGGAGGGGTTAGATTAACTGTGAGCATGATCTTCACTGAGGTCATTTCTCCCCTTCTGTGCCAACACACACACATAATCACACATACCCCCCTTTCCATTAGCCTACCAATCCCACCTGGTATTTTAATCTAGATTTAGGATCTAACACGTATCAAATGGTTGCCCACTGCTTATACAGTAATTCTATACGCTTTCTATACCCTAAACTCTACCGCACAGCATCGCAGGAGCAGAAATTTAACAGCTTCCTCCATGACTGGTACTGAAAGGATTAGTCAACTGGTTATCTGACACAAAACTAACTAGATTCAAGAAATCTAGTCAATATTTTTCTGGTTCCTCAAATGTGAGAATATCTTATAAATTACATGATTACTCAATGACTGATTACCTTTATAAAAAAGTGTAAGCATGTAACATTTAAATGTTTCTTTTCAATCAACTTTTAAATGATAACTTTTCATTTTCTTACTTGCAAATCTTAACATTTCTTGCCACCACTGTGTTAGTGTTAAAACTGATTATTACACAAACAGCAATCTAATGAAGCCACAATCATAATTAAAATGTTGTAAACAAGTGTCTAACTGTTTGTGGTGTAACTTAGTTTTTTTAAAAACAAAAAGGATTTATTGCTTAGATAATGACACTAATTTGAAAGGAGCCATTTTGAATGGTGTACAGTCATTCTGAAAAAATCATCAGTCTACATAATGTTAGTTTGTATCCTAAGTACAAGTGGTTTGTGGGTAAATTTTAGATCAAATTTTTTTCCAAATAATTGAGATATTTTATCAGCTTCATATGCAATCAGTTCATTTTCACTTAATCTGACAGTGTAATTGTTTCATGTGTATATCTGAATCTTTTGTTCACAGTTGTTTTTGTTGGAGCGATTATTGATAATTTGGGGATTAATATAAATCTCCCCAACACAAAACTGTAAAAGGAAACCTGACACCATGATAACTAACTGTTGTCTACTTACAAAAATCCAAAATATTATATATAATATATATCCATAATTATTGGCACACACAAGTTGGGACTCCAGATGTTCACTGATGAGGCTTCAGCGTCTGGCGGGCTGATATCTGTATTCTAGACAGATTTGTCGATGGGATTTTACACCCCTTCACCTTATTTTAAACCAGATGATCCTTCACCTGACTGCAACCTTTGTGAAAAGCCTAAATATTCACTCCAGGGACTAATCCATGTCTGCCTTCAGATGTGTTTATTGTAAATGTAAAATCTATAACTTTTCATTCTTTATTCTGGCTTTGTTCTCTTGATGCTAAAGTGACACTTATACTACTTTTCCTCGAGGCTATTATGTGCAAATCAAATGTAACATGTTTGCGTTATAGTTGACAGATGCTTACAGGGTCCTTAACCTGATTAATAAGAAAACTGCCCTAAGACTGATTAATGGGCTACTAAGATCAGAAGGATTGAACCGGGCAGCGGTCATTAACTCCGTGTCCTGGAGTTGCACCGCACATCGATGTCTAGGGGCGTTTTCATCATGTCTCGTGGCCTGGCAAAAGGTCGCAGAGGGTAGCCTTTAGGTGTGACCATGTCTGTTTTAATTACATGGGTATTAGCTGGTCAGAGATCTCTACAGCTTTGTGGCCAGACATGTCCTCACGGCCAAATGTCAAGACACATGTGATACAGGTTTTCATGACCAGTGGCAATTAATTGTGCCATCCAAGAAATAATTCTTAGTCACTATGGTTTTCAAGTTTTCACTCAGTCATAAAGTGACAAAGGCGACACCAGAAAGCTTCATTTCTTTGCATTTTGCCTCTTATGTTTTGCTTGCTGTCTAAAACCTGCATTCATTTCTGCTGTGAACCCATCCATTGCTCAGGGCTCCATCTCTATCAGATCCGACCTATTAAATAACCTATCCTCCGTTGTTTGCTCACTGCAGTTATCCTGGCAGTCAATATATCCTGAGGCTAAGCCAAACAAGCTGATCAGCCAGTCACCTCTGTACACACAACCCCCCACTAAGAGGCTAATGGCCAGGACGTATAATCCTTCTCAAAACAACTACAGAGATGCTAATTGAATCTAGCTATAAATACAGGTTGACTCCCTGTCCTCTTTCTTTATTCATCTGTACTCTGGCGAATCGGCCACTCTGGAACATTTGCCCAATACCAGGAAAGACTCAGTTACATAAGAGAGGCAGCAGATAGATGCTGCAAGTATCGATGAACTTGCTGTCATCTCAAAAAAAGAAGCAGCGAGCGCACGGACTTTTACGCACGGCTGGATATATCATTTCATGCGCCCTGTGAACATTTCACAACTTCCTCGGTGAGCTACTGAGACGCAGCAAGGCGAGATGTTCCCACTGCCGATGTTCACACCGGACCAGGTCGCTCGGGTCTGCGAGAACTTGGAGGAGACCGGGGACATCGAGCGCCTCGGCCGGTTCCTCTGGTCCCTGCCCGCCGCTGTCCCTGGCTCCGCCGGGGAAGCACTGAACCGACACGAGTCCGTGATGCGGGCGAGAGCGCTGGTCGCCTTCCACGGGGGAAATTTTGAGGCTCTTTACCAAATCCTCCAGAGCCACCGGTTTACGCGCGAGTCGCACGCCAAACTCCAAGACCTGTGGCTGGACGCGCACTATCGAGAGGCAGAGAGGCTCCGTGGGCGGCCGCTGGGCCCGGTGGAGAAGTACCGAATCCGCAAGAAGTTCCCTCTGCCCCGCACCATCTGGGACGGCGAGCAGAAGACGCACTGCTTTAAGGTAAATAACCTGATAATGATTTAATTTGAGCCACATGGCTGCTGGTGACAGAGTGATGTAGTGTGTAAAACCCACGTGTTCCCTCGTCTTTGGGTTAAACGTAGAATATCAGATAAGACCAGAATCGTCTAATGGCATGACATTATAACACGTCCTGAGATGATATGAAATCACATCTTAACATTGGAAACTTGACCATCAGTTTCTCTCTTGTACAGATGCTGTTTTAACTCTGCTATATCAAGCCGCCTGGTCTTTGAGCTCTTAAGATGATCATGGTTAGAGCCGTGGTTATCCCTCTGCCTTCTGCTGTGAAGCCTACTAAACTACTTTAGGCCTGGTGTCCTGATGCAAGATCAGAGATCTCCTACAAGTCCGGATGCTATTTTCTGACCAGATTATTGATGCTCTTACATTCTGTAAAACAATGTCAGACAAACTGAGATGCATCATGTTAATTTTCTTGATTTTTGTTGTCACTCTCATATTTGTCTTATAGCTCATGTTTGCAAGTTTTAAATAACTTTACATATGAATGCAGCTATGTCACACAGCTGTTATTTATTCATTTATCTCTAATATTGTGTTAAAATTGACACTGGCATTAATTTTCTCTTCTTATTCACATTCTGTTCTTTGCTCTAACATTTACTGTCTGCAGCTGCAAAGGGAAGATTTCCCCACAGGATTCATTAGTTTCATTTTATCTTTAACTAGCAGCTATTACTTTCAAATACTTTAAGTGGCTATGAGCACAGACCTGCAGGAGTCTGAATCAGCCATATATCTGCTACCCTGGGGACATTCCTTCCATCTACCTGCTGACTTTTATTTAGCTGGACGACTGTTATATGATGCAGTCAGTTACAGAAAGGCTTCTCCTGTTTAAACGCCTTTTTTACAAAAATATTCTTCCTGTCACAAAATAATGACCTGTAATGCCCTGATGTGCAGAGCACCTTGAGTATCATTGTGTTTACAAAACATGCATGTTTCAGTGTCATGAGACTGTTGGTGGTGTAACTGTGGAAGCAGACTTTGTAACTTAAAGTTATGATAACACTACTCGCTGTTAATATTCATAAGGGAGAAAAAGAGCTGCTTACAGGGTTCAAGATAGCGCATGGTGAGAGAGCAAGCAAGCATGAACTTTGCCTCTTGGGTGTGTGTTAGTGTGATCTCCCTCTTGTGGCAGCGTGAAGTACTGGTCATACTTAATCTTCTAATTCCAAACCTCAGAAGGGACATCCTCTGCAGCCGCCTATTAAGCCCCTTACCATGATCCAATTTAGTGGATATACATTTTTATGTAGGCTATACTTACAATATAGATTTTAATCATCTGTTTATAAATCTAATCTAACAAGATTATACTGAGCATCATATGAGAGTGATACGATTATTGTGGTTTAATAGGATGATATCAAAGCAATACGAACCACATTATTGTGGTAAACCACCATATGGTATCGCTACAAAGTGCAGCATTGACAGAAAGAAAGAGCTGACATAATATATGAGACACACAGAGCTATGCATGGAGGTCTAAATAAGACAAATATTTCTTCTGTCCTCTCCAGGAAAGAACTCGCAGTTTGCTGAGAGAGTGGTACCTCCAAGATCCCTACCCCAACCCGTCCAGGAAACGGCATTTGGCCCAGGCCACTGGACTCACGCCCACACAGGTCGGCAACTGGTTCAAGAATCGCCGCCAAAGAGACCGTGCCGCATCCGCAAAGAACAGGTATGTCAAAAAATTACATCAGATGATGATGATTATTACTAAAAAATATTATGCCTACATACAGTTTGCGTTGTACAAACATCTTCTGAGAAGAAAAACTGTTTTTAGCTCTGCCCTCCAGGGCTTGACTAAAGCAAAGAGATAATCTCTGTCTTAAGAGCAGCTCTGCCACATGTAGTGTTAACAAAGATTCCAATCTGGGACCTCACTCTGACCTCTCTCACCTGTCCCTTCCACTCAGACTGCAGCAGGATCCTTCCCTCCTGCCCCCTGAAAGCTCCCCTGATGGGTCCCTTCAGGAGCGCCACCATCACCCCCACTTGCTGCCTAACTCCCCTCGCCACCTAGGCAGCCCAGAGGCCAGCGACTGTAGCACAGAGACCGAGCGCAGAGGAACAGGAGCCTCCACTCCAGAGATCTCCGTCAGCAGTGACAGCGAGTTCGAGTCTTGAGACGGTGGGCTCTTTTCATGGACAGAGATGAGAGCAGTGTCTGTCGTCAGACTCAGACATATGTTACAGACACTTGACCTTTCTGTGGCTGTGGACACACAGGAGCTGTTCTCAGCGGGAGGAGGGCGAGCACTAGGAGCCCACTTGACGTGGCTCTGAGTGGACAATGTAAGGGGAATGATATGCAACAATATTATGCACTTAAAACAGCACCATGGCACATGACCTTGACTGTTATATGAATTAGTTTACTGCTGACCATGACTCAGGACGGTAGATAGGTAAACATCCAATGAGTACTTCTACATCGAACAAATTTTTCATGGTCTTTAGATAATGTGAATATTAATGCTATAAGTTTTGATACTGGCTTCAGTGAATATTTTGGATAGATCATTTTATAGAAGTTTTTATGTAAGCTACATAATACATTTGTATGGAAATAACCCAGACACACTAAACATTAAATGCCTTGAGTAGGCTTCTACCGTATGTGTATATGTTTACATGCATATTAATAATTTGCTAACTTTACCTAATCATGTAAAGTGCACAGTCCAGTTTCATACAGTGCATTCATAAGGCACATGTGGGAAAACTGCTTTACTATTACCTTAATGTGGCTATTCAGAGTAATTAGGTGCTAATGTGCATGTAAACATAGTGAATGAATTCAACACAGTTCACTGCCTTAAGGAGGAACAAAGGGCATCACTCTTTACAATGCAATCAAACATTATAACACAAGTTTAGACAGTCTTAACTTTATGTAATTAACAATGCACGTGTGCTGCTCAAAACATTTTTGTTACCTGCTGTGTTTTACCTGTTCACATCTGTTTTTATATGTAGGGTTTTCTTTACATGCTCCTGAGGTGCTCTGATGATGAATTCCTGTAGGAGCTGAAACAGAAAAGATGAAAAAGAGAAAGTGAAATACTAAATAGGTCTTAACTCAATGTGCCTACTACATTTGAGAACAGTGAGACCTGGTCAGATATGATTGTGTCCTCATGTCAGAAAAACACACTCAAAGGCTTACTGTTTGCTGTCTTTCTTACAATCATCATTTCAATAACACATTACTGCATTTCAATGAAAACATGTATTTTGTAAATGTTTTATGTAAATAAATGAACCTATTTTTATCCAAAGTTATACTGGCTCATTATATTTGTAATCTCCAAACGGTATTATTGCAGTGCAGCAATTCAGTGTGATCTGATTTAGTGGATGACTCTTCTGTGTAGATCATGTTTTTAACGTATATCTCCAAACTAAGTTATCATTTTCAAATCAAATAGTAAGCCATTACTTTCATTTCCATTAACAGAAACCAAAGCACAGCCACGACTGCAATAGTCTGATTACAGCCACGCCTCCTGTTTCCACACAATGAAAAGTTAATGTCGCAATTGTATTGTTTTGTGGTAAAACAAAGATGGATATGGTGATTTACTGTCTGATCTGACAGAGTAAGATGTCCCCCCTCTTGTGTGAATCATCTCAAGAGCTGAGCCCACAAAAGCAGTGAATAGTGATACGCACACACTGTATGGTCCATCCCGCTACATCAGAAAATGCCATGCCATGTTTATTGTCATGCCCCTTTGAATTGTTTGAACATTCATAACATTTTGTACAACCCTTTACACAGACTAGCAGGACTAGCAAAGGTGCAACACCAATGACAACTCAGTTCCAGCAATTATTACAATGCACCAATTGATTATGTTACTAGAAACACCTTTGTTGGCGAGTCGAAAATGTCTGTAGTGAAAAAGGTCTTTTCAACTTAAGTGTCACTCCACATTTGGCCCCCTGGTGATGTGCAAAACAAACTGAAACACAACTCTGACATATTATCACCTTGCAGTTGTTATGGCAGACAACGTTAGCAACATTAGCATTCATCTAAAGCTGTGTTTCTGGCGACCTCATGAATGTAAAGCCCAACATTGACTCCCTTCTTAGCTTTGTTTTAGTCTCCAGAGAAAGATATTTGTCTCTTTAGGTAGTAAATGCTCCATGATCGCCAGCTGGGTTTGTGGAGTCCACTGGACTTTTTTATATCACAGCTAAGACTTCAGCACTTTTCTTGGGAAATCATTAGCCCTGACGATTTTTGTACAATTAGGTTAGCCTTTAATGAATACACAACAAAACCACACAGGTTGTTGGACAACACTTACCAATAGTTTGAGGACATTTCCGGGTTTCCAAAACTATTCTTCTACCCAGTTTAACCGAAAAATATACTTTCTGGTGCACAATGAAGAAGACTTTTAACTGTTGACAAGTTGCAAATCTCTTCTAAACCAAACAAAGATGGCGGCTCTTCTTGTAGACCAATTAACGGTAGAAAAACAAGGGGGCAGACACTATGACGCAATGTCTCTTTAGTGACTGTTATTTGATTTTTACGATGCACAGAACATTAATAGGTAAAATAATGAAGATTTAAAACATGTTTAACGATAAATGTTTCAGTGGTTTTGTACTGACAAAATGTTTCTGGTTACCAAATATAGGCTATTTAATGACTGCCAGAAATACAGGAAGACAATACATTCCAGATTGATTTTTACTTTTTTAATGTTATTGAGTAAAACAACATTTTACAACTGCTGCTGTGAAAATGCTGGTATTACTTCTATTTTTTAAGGAAAAAGTTCTTAAATACAAAATGCAGAAATAACTGTGACAAAACTTGAAAGAAAACAAAAAAATATTGCATAGGCTATATATAAATAAGAAAAAAAAATTGAGTGTATGAATTTTATCACTGCACCATATCAAAATGAGATAAAAGACTTAGTATACTGTAGTGTCATTGTGATTTTTCTACTAGGCTGTATTCTTTGAGGAACTGAGAAAACTTTCCAAGTCTATATGGTCTGCACTATAAGTAGAGAAACATGTCTCCAGAGTAGGGACATGTGAGTAATAAATGGACCAAATGTCAACTTAAAAAATTATCTGTGAGCATTTCAGTTGATAGACTGCTACCTGTTTGTCTTTAAAAAAAAAAAAAAAAAAAAAAAGTGTAGTGCTTGTCTTCCTCCTGCACAGAGGCCACAAATAATGGGCGTCCTCACTTTCAGTAATCCCGCCCACGCTTGAAGGAGTAGCAGGAAGACTTCTGCTTACCTGTCAGCTGTTGTCATTACTAAATTCATGTGTAGAAATCTTGAATTTGTCACTTGTTAGTTGGACCCCTGTCCTGACAGGAGGGAGTATCTTGAGCTGTTTATAGCATTTGTGAGAGGATGGACAGCCAGGGAAGGAAAGTGGTGGTCTGTGACAATGGGACAGGGGTAAGTCCAAATTGTCAATAATGTATCATGTAGGAGTCTTACAGAGTATTACCAGTATCAGTTATGCATGGTCTTTATTCTATTCTAGTATATTGCATTGAATTATAATTGTATGTTGACTGTATCCAATTGTCTGAGTAAACCAATTTTTTTTGACAGCTTTTCATGCAAACCTACAAGAAGTGTGTTAAATTTCAGTGTTTTATTTTAAAACGATTGTTGCAAGTATGCTTCATTTAGAAGCTAACAAAAAGTCCAGGGTGTGAATCTGTGTGCATACTAGAGCCTGATTCCACATCCACATCTGTCTGGACTTGTCACCCTACCTCTTATGTGCACACAGCCATAAATGGTTGTAATGCTTTGAACTGAGCAACAATTGGATGAAAAGCAGGAAGAGAGATTTGAAGCACTAAAACCTCATGAGTGGCTCTTTAATACTGTACTGTAGCATTTAAATGTTGATATCTGAGAGGAGTATGAGGTGTGATTTGAATGCTACCTGCAGTCAGAAACTGGCTGTAGCCTATTTTTGCCTCCGCTAGGAATGTATTTCATCCCTGCAGGCTAAGGAATGTGTCTATGGTCACAAAGACAAGTTGAGACAGCACATTATTCGGTGTAGTCATGACAGGGAGAGAACCAGTCTGCAGTGAGTTGCATGCCATTAAAAGGCCAGGTAACACCGTAATTATTTACCAAATGCATGCTAAATGAATGATTCTATATGGTCTTAAAGATGTTATGAAACTGCAATTGCATTGTCAGATAAATAAAAGACAATCTGGTAAAAGCATTATAATAATCCACTCTAGGTCAGTTTCCTGGATGCAGATTAAGCCGAGCACTGGATTAAACCACATGGGACTGATTAATGGATGGAAATTATGCATACAAAAGATTTAGTGCAGTAAGAGTACAATTAATGTGCATCATCAGTTCAGGGCTATAGAAACAAACTTTCAGTTTCAGTTAACATTAAAAAAATTAGAACTTTATTGACACATAAAAACAATCACTTTGTCTCTTTCTCACATCCCTCCCCAGTTTGTGAAGTGTGGCTTTGCTGGATCCAACTTCCCTGACCACATCTTCCCTGCCATGGTGGGTCGACCAATCATACGATCGAGCACCAAAGTGGGCAACATTGAGATAAAGGTGAGGTTAGATTCAAGTGTATATGCAGCCTGTAGATGAAGTCACTCTGATGGCATATGGTTATCCTTTGAACCATTTCCTGATTTTAATTAGACAACTTTCAGACTATATCGTTTAGATAAAGTTCTTGTAAGGCTTCTTGTATTAGGACAGTAATGAACATGTGGGCTATACATTCCTCAAACTACAGCATCATTTTAGTATCTGTACCAAAATTAAGGTATTATATGGCGCCAGCAATGAAATGATACCCAGCCCCTTGAATACAACTGAGCAAAGCAAAGCAAAAACAGGACAGTTTCATGCTAAATGTCCTCCCATTTTCCATTAGAAAAAACAAATTCTAATCTATTCTATTTATACCAAGATAAACCCACAGATTCCTAATTGAACGCACAGTCCACCTCTACAATGGCTGAACTCCTCCTGTTCTTTTTACCCAGGACCTGATGGTGGGGGACGAGGCCAGCGAGTGTCGCTCCATGCTGGAGGTGTCCTACCCCATGGAGAACGGTATGGTGCGCTGTTGGGACGACATGCTCCACCTGTGGGACTACACCTTCGGTGCCGACCGCCTGAACATCGACCCATCAGAATGCAAGGTACAAAACCGCCGGGCAGGTGCTGTATGGTGGATGTAAAAGAGAAAGGTCGAAGGAGTTCCTTTGTAAAATGTCTGTGCTGCTACAGTGGTTTGCAAGAAACACACAGTTTCAACCTTTCAAAATAAAGCTCAGTATATTATATATCTATGGCATGAAGTAACAAAACAAAATCCATGAAATACTAAAATCATGTTATCTGTAAGAACTGAAAATATAAACTTTAATGCCCATAACTGGAGAAATACTCTGCATCATAAACATAAAGCCTTCACACAGCCGTCTATTATCCTTACCTTTCCCAGATCCTGCTGACTGAACCACCCATGAACCCAACCAAGAACCGGGAAAAGATCGCAGAGGTCATGTTTGAGAAGTACCAGTTCCACGGCATCTATGTGGCGATTCAGGCGGTGCTCACTCTGTATGCTCAGGGTAAGGAATTAGCAACAGCTTTTAAATTAAGTGGTGAATGATCAATTAATGGATTAAAGATTTTGTATATTTTTACTTTTAATCTTGAAGTGTTCAGCAATTTTTAATGGCACAAGAAATCAAACTTCTAACTTCTCTTTCCTGCTCTAGGGAAACCCCTATGTACTGTCTGCGTCCTGCTGATTAATGATGGGTTCATTGATTATTTAAATGTTTCATTTGGGTGTACAGGTTTGCTTACCGGTGTGGTCGTTGACTCAGGGGATGGTGTCACCCACATCTGTCCAGTGTACGAGGGCTTTTCATTACCCCACCTCACACGCAGGCTGGACATCGCTGGACGTGACATCACACGCTACCTCATCAAGGTGAGTCGGCAGATTCAGAGTTTCAGATGTACTGTCTGCTCTTAACATTGTACATGAAGAAATGATGCATCTGTCAGTAAACACCGATATAAGAAAAATAACTTTTTTTTAAATATGTGATTTAACAAATCACCTACACCACCAGCTCCTGCTGCTCCGCGGTTACGCCTTCAACCACTCAGCCGACTTTGAGACCGTGCGTATGTTGAAGGAGAAGCTCTGCTACGTGGGATACAACATCGATCAGGAGCAGCGGCTGGCGACGGAGACCACCTACCTGGTCGAGTCGTTCACTGTACGTTGAAGGACAAAAACCCAGGAAAGCATTTTGTTCAAGGATTAGCATTAGTCCACCTAAGCGGGTAGTTCCGACATTTTTGGGAAATGCTCTGTTCGCTGTCTTGTTTTTCTAATGAGATTTAATGAGAAGATCAATATCTAGCTCGTGTCTGTATGCTAAGCTAACAAGCTAGCAGCATCAGGTACAATTCACTTATCACAGAGACTGGAAACAGGTGGAAGCAGGAAACTATTCTCTGAATTTAATTAAGGGTACAATTTGAAGATTTTTGAGTTTGGTGCCCCAAGTGGCTGTATCACAAAATACATTTTGGCAGACTGAAATACTTACTTTTCTTTATTTTTATTTTTTTTCCCCCCCCCCCCCCCCCAAAAAAAACGTATGCCATCAGAATAATTAGAAAAATTATGAAACGAAAAAATGATTCACTTAAAATTCAATAAATTACATTTATGATCTTAATTAGCGCTAAGTGAATTTTCTTAATGCTGTGCCACTGAACCTGTTTGGGTTGTGACCCGATAAAATCAAGCTAAAGTTTCCTTGTGAGTCCTTTATAAGAGGTTATAACCTCAGTGTGGACATGAGTTGTGACTGGTTCAACCAAATAGTGATTTTTCCTTCTCACATTGTTTCACTTTTAGAAAATTTTGTGTATCAAATCTTGTCTATCCCTTTAGTGAACTTGTGACCATTTAAATCCAGCCAGGTTGGAAAGCACTGTCCAAATACAGTCTGTTCATTTCACCCATGGGTCCAAGTATATCACAGCACTGGCTCAGAGTTTGATACAATGACATGTAAAATATATGGCAAAGAACTGTGTCTGTTTAGGATCAGAAATGGCTCCAAAGCCAACAGTCTTCTTTCTCTGGTGCAGCTCCCTGATGGCCGACAGGTGAATGTGGGTGGAGAGAGGTTCGGGGCCCCTGAAGCCCTCTTCCAGCCCCACCTCATCAACGTGGAGGGAGCGGGAGTGGCCGAGCTGCTGTTTAACACCATCCAGGCTGCAGACATTGACCTCAGGTCTGAGTCTCATCACTGCTGTTTTTTTATGAATCTGTACAACTATTAAAAAAAAAAGATTTTTATCTGAGAGAAGATACACGTTCAAAACACTCAGTCATCATTTTCCCATCTACCATCTGTTTTTGTGTGCAGGTCAGACTTCTATAAGCACATTGTTCTGTCAGGAGGCAGCACCATGTATCCCGGCCTTCCGTCCAGACTGGAGAGAGAGATCAAGCAGCTCTACTTGGAGAGCGTGCTGGATGGAGACACTCAGAAACTATCAGTAAGAACTTGAACATTCATAGTATTTCTGCTCTGCTGGAGGACAGTGCAGTGGGGGACACAGCTGGAGTTTAAATTGTTGATAGTAGTTTTGTCTGTATCTCTAACGCAGACAAAAACACAGATCATAAAAAGCATAATATAGGTAATGTATATACATTTAGTGCTCTGTGTTTTAATGGCATCTCCCCTCTTCTCTCATCACCTGTGTAGAAGTTTAAGATTCGCATCGAGGACCCTCCCAGACGTAAACATATGGTGTTCCTGGGTGGTGCCGTGCTGGCCAACATCATGAAGGACAAGGACTCCTTTTGGCTGAGTAGAGCGGAGTACCAAGAGAAAGGCCTGGGGGTGCTGCAGAAACTGGGAGGTGGAGTCAGATGAAAAAAAAAAAAAATCTTTTTATCACCCAAATATTTCCGTTTTTTATATCAACTCACTTCTCACTTCTCACAGCCACATGTGCTGGATTAATTGATTCATTATTTTAGTCGTAGATCAAGAAAAATGCAAAAAGTATTTTCTGGTTCCAGCTTCTCAAATGTGTGGATTGGCTGTTTTTTCTGTTTTATAACACTGTAATTTTCTGATATTTATGGACAAAACAATGGCTCAATTAATTGCAAGTTAACTAATATTAAAAATAATCCCTGTTACAGTGAAGTTGAATCAAGACCCATTTTTATCACAGTACATCCATATCAAAATGTCCCATAAAATCTTGTTCAGTATAAAGTCTCATGAATTTATTCATATGTTCATCACAACCCAAACAGCTGATGGTAAAATATTGGTGATCCAAGGACAAGGACACTGGCAGTTTGAGACATTTTTGACACTTAAATTGGGTCTTTATTCAACCTCATACCAGACCCAAATTATAATATTTAGGTGAAATCTAAATCATGAGTTACAGCCAATGATACAGGACTTTTGGAGTGAATCTAACCTCACATTGCCTTGGACTTTCTTGATGTAAACTGATACTGGAACTAATGAGAATAATGTTAGTATAGGCTTGAAAACACCACTGACATAGAAAATGTAAAATGTTTAAAATGAAAAATAAAGATTAACCTGCCAAAATAGATACTAGAAACAAAGCATGAGTCTCTGTTATTGATATTTTTCTGAATCCAGCTATCAAGATAAAATGTTGTTTTTTTTGCATTTTGAAAATATTTGTTTAAATATTCTATTAGACAAATGTTTAATTTTTTTTAAAGAGCTGCCATCTTTCTAAGATGCTCTTAAATGAATTCCATCATACACACTAATTAAACCATGTGCAAAAAGTGTGTAGTTCTGTCTTTCATGGGCTAATAGAATAATATATAATAATATAATAAAGTTTAAGGTATTTATGTATTGTAACAGCAAGGTGTCAACTGGTGGTGTTAGTATTTGCTTCCCTCTGCTGGTTGAGTTTGTTTAAGACATCATACGACAACAAACACAATCGCACATCAGTGCACACTGCATGTAACAACACTGTGAACAGATATTGCAATTTCTTTTATTGCGATACTGAATTACCTGACAAAATACAGTAATGTGAGTTTACATTGAAAAGAAATAGTGAGCTCTCACAATGAACACATGCTTCACGCACACATACACCACATTCGCAGAAACCTTCACGGCAAATGAAAAAGCATGCAATAATGCTCAAAACACATCATAGTTCTGGAAAATGAACCTCCTCAGCTGATTTAAAAACTCCAGATATGTTGAAAATCCATACTTAGGTTCGATATCTACCCAACAAATTGAACAATTAAAAGTTAGTTTTAAATACACAATATGATAATTGATAATGACACTGAGTTGAACAGTCAGTTGAAAGTGATGACTTGCAGCAGGAGCCACCAGAAGCTGGTGACTTTTACATTTACATTCTACCAGTCACCGCGAGGTCCTGGTTTATTGGTCGGACTGTCCTCTCAGTCCGGGTTGTAACGCAGTGTCATTGAATAGTGCGGCCAAGAGAAACAGAAGAACTCAAAAGCGGTGATTTGAAACATGATGTGTGTGAATGCAGTTCTGAGAGGATTAAACTCTGAACCGGAAAAAAGATTACATTCGCAAGTCATTCAGTAAAACTGTTGCAGGTTGTCTCGGTGTGTCGATGTGATGTTCTTTTGTTTTTTTCTTTAATTCTCACATGGTTTAAAAACAGAGAGCTGATGCTTTTCTATCACTTCCCTCCTACTCGCCTATTACTGCACCTGCCAAAAACACTTAATAGAATACGCGAGCAAGGAGGAGAGCCTGCACTGTTTCTCAAAAACGTAAAAATACAATTGTCTCTGTGGGTGATTCTAAAAATAAATAGCTGATTTAAAGCTTCCTTCGAGCTTGTAAACCTGATTTCTTTCAAAGTAAACTGTTGCATCACAAAAGGGCCTCTCTTTTTCTGTTTTTGTCACTTTGGTATTGAGGTTTGGTCTTGGCGATAAACACATCTCACCTTTTAGTGAAACTCTTTTCGCAGGGGGGGCACAGACAGGTTTGTATCCCCAAACCCTTTAACAATGTGGTTCCATCCAAAGATCTGCAGACTTTTACACATAAAAGTGAAGTAATAAAACATCCAAGTGTCTTTTAGATTGTGCCCAGAAGTATACAGGGAAAGGGTTACATCACCACGGTGGACAATTTGCCTTCTTGTGTGCGTACAGGAAGTGATTTTGTTTCCAGGCAACAGCAGTCTCACAGAATTTGTCTTTGGATTTGAGCGTCCTCACGTTTGAATGATGTAATCCCTTCATGGTATATACTGTGGGTTCATGTTTCACATAACAACCAAATCCATTTATTACACATTTTTCCATGTCACAAATAGTACACTCCTTTACACTAGCAGCCACACTGAGTGGTACATAGTACAACTTTTGGCAACAGTCCCTATGTTGGTCCTGCTCTGCTCTGCATGTTGGTCCATTTAAGGAAGAGTTTACCATTTCAGGTCTGCTCCTGGTCTGGAGAAGGGCTGTAGTTTTTCACAACAAGTCCTGACCCACGACGAGACACAACACACCGCCGGAGAGAAAGAGACAGAACAAGAGAGAGAGAAAGAGAGAAAGCGAGAGCGACCAACCATCTCCTCCTCCTCATCCTCCTCCTCCTCCTCCCTCCTTCCTCTATCCCTCCCACTCACTCCTCACACACCGACTCGCTCAGGTCCACGGCGCCACCTCTGGTGAGCCGCCGCATCTTGCTGAAGTCGTGGTCGGTCCTCAGGTAGGAGAGCGAGGGGCCTCCCTCGCTGTGGCTGGCCAGGTCCTGGGGCTGAGCCTGAGGCGGCAGGGCCCTCATCTCGCCGCCGCTGCGCCAGTACAGGGTGTATTGCTGCGGGTCGGACACTCCGAAGGTGGAGGCACACAGCTGAGCCAGGGCCTGGCTGGTCTCCCCGGCTCTCCACTGCAACGTCCGCACGGCGCTCCTCTCCCCGTCCTGGAACAGTATCCGAACGCACCTCTGGAGGGAGGGAGGGAGGAGGGGAGGAAGGGCGAGAAAAGATAAAAAAGAAAAAAAAATAGTGACTATATACTGTATTCATGCAAAACAGAGGTCAAGAGGCTTATGGAGTGAGGGCAAAAGAGGGGGAGGAGAGAGAGAGATGGAGCCAGAGGAGGAGTGAGAGCTGTGCAAACACACAAGCTGATAATCCACTACAATAAATGAGTCAAAATGATGTTCGTAAAAGAAATTCTCTCTCCAACAAAGCTTCTACTTCCCACACATACAACCAGCAGGTCCAAGAGCTTCACATGAAAAATCATCCTCATGAAATTGCTCTTTTCTCTGCTGCATGTAACAGCTTCATTGACAAACTCCCAGAATTAATCCATTAGAGTAAAGTCCACGTCCAAACTCACACAATATAATCCATTAAGCTCTACCTCGGCGTTGTGGTGAAGTTTTCCCTCTGCACTTTAATCCAAACAGAAACTTTCCCACATTTTCAACAGAGCAAAAAAAAACTAAAAACAAACTAAAAACCACACAACTAACGAGTGTCTCAACAATTGCCACTCTTAAAACACTTACCAGCAATTGTGATGTACCTAAGCTATTATATAATGTCAGATACATCCACCTACAGACGCCCTCACAACTCTCTTTCAAAACACACACACTCACACACACACACACACACACACACACACACACACACACACACACACACTGCACTGAAAACATACTGAACATAATCCTTTTACCAAACATTCAATCTTGAGAAACCAGTGAGAATCCTCTTCTCTGCCCCACACACACACACACACACACACACACACACACACACACACACACACACACCACCCATCCAACTCTACCTGCACACACAACTCTCACACACAGATGCACAAGTAGCCAAATTTACTCAAGAAAAAAAAAGAAAAAAAAAAAGAAAAAAGAAAACACACACCAGCAATTATAATCAACAGGTCGTCCAGCGTCAAAACTTACAGAGTCACTGAGCTCCTCGCTGTCCGTGTGCATATTGTGTTTGCCTGCTTCGATGGGTAGATGCGGCTCAATAAATTTCATGTTATCTGACCGCCCACTTCTTCATAGCACTTGGCTCACTGATCCCCGCCTGTGTCAGTGGAAAATCTGGCTGCCGGGTGAGTTAGATCGGCTATTTGAAGCCAGGAGAGGCACCACGTGACGAGACAGAAACGTTGTGGATGACAATGCCTTTCTTCCATGGCATCTGGTGGACTGTTATACCAATCTGGGGCCGGGAGAGTGATAATAGGAGAGTGTAGGTAAAAGTAAGTGTGTGTGTGTGTGTGTGTGTGTGTGTGTGTGTGTGTTTGTGTGTGTGTGTGTGCATTAGTGCACGCCCCATTGTAAGCCGGCAGCCCCAGATCAGCGGATTACCTCTAAAAATGTCTAAAAACTAATCCCCTCAAATGAATTTGAAATGTGTTGGCACGCAAAGGAGGGAAGCCCGGGCGTGTGGTCTGACTTGTGATGGATGTCCTGATGTTTGACCGAAAATCTTCACCCTCTGCTTGACCTCTAGAAAATTAAAAGTGCTGCCTTCAGCTTCCTAAGCAGCAACAACTGAACCTGAGACCAACCTTGAATGAAACATGGGTCACTGTTGCTTGCTCTAAACATCGTTACAGATGGAGGACAATCAGTATAATCAATGTCACATCTCACCTCTTTGGATGGATTATCTCCTTGTTTTTGCTGCCGTTTGTGTCTTCTGTGCCATTTGAAAGACATTAAATAGGATTTAAACTGTGTTTGAACTTGGAACTGTGAAATGTCGATGATATTTAGAGTCTGTTTGAAACAGAGCAGGAGTTGAGGCCCGGGATATCAGGGCAGATGACTAACAGGTAGGTTGTCAGCTGCACACAAATTCACTAAAGCCAGAAACACGTTAAAAGACTTTTCAAATCTGAGCGAGCTGTGTAAAGACTCGAAATGCACCAAATCAACCAAATCTTTGAAGAATACCGGCCTAACTAGTTACTAACCAGCGAAAACCAGAGCTTCAGATTCAAATTGTCCATCAGAAGGTGAGAGATTTGAATCCTGGACACTATATTATGAATCTTTTATTTTCCTACCTACCAAATCACAGATTGGCCTCTACATTGTGTGGCATCTGCCTAGCTTAGGTTACTTTGAAGGTGGTCCCAGGACCCCAGGATGAGTACTTGTTGCCGAGGTAACAATAAACGGGGATCTAAATATGAGATCTAGATATACGAGACATGAAACCTGCAGTCAATTACAAAACACATATGGTGTTTTCGCTAACGGCAACTCTGACATCAAGAAGTTCAGTTTTGCCGGTAGAGTGTCATTCACATGGTTCATTGGAGAAAATCTCACTTCATAATAAGCAGAGGTTCCTGCTGTCCACACATCAGTCTACACTTCAAACAGGGCGTCTGCGTGTGACACTATACGATACTATACTATACAAACCCACACACAACGCTCCCAGTGTTTCTGTGCTGCACTACTGCAGTCGCAGCATTTGGTATCTACCTGGTTCTGCTGGCTCTCCTTTTGTTTCTGGGCCTCCCGGCTCCGTCTGCAGCTCCACTCCTTCAGCGCCTCCTGGGCCTCC